CATAACCCAACTATTAGACCATTCTATATGTTAATATTATGATGTCCAGCTGTAGGATGTTACCATGGATGTCTTGTCAACCTTATTAAATATTTGTGACTATTTTAAAAAGTAAATGTTGGATGGACTATGACTTTTTCAGAATTTCTCAGATCTACCCACTAAAAGATGTTAGTAACCCTTGAATGGCACAGTTAATATGGATACAAGTAGTGAGCAATCTTTGAGTATAAGAAATTTATCTCTTCTTTTTTTAACTTTTGCACAGTCTTGCATAAAGAATTCAATCAAAGTAAATTTAGCCACAAAAGAGAGCGAGTGCAGGCCGTTTGAGTAAGTAAGTATTTTAGTCTGTTTATCTTGTCTTTCTCACACATCTCATCTTCATCCTAGCGGATTCTTTTCCCTAGCAGCCTTCAATTACGTCACAGCATTCCTCTGTTGCATTCTTTCCCTTAGTCCCTTTCTGTTTCAGTCTCTCTTGCTGTCACTGTCATTGTAAAAATGGTGTGTGTGTGTGTGTGTGTGTGTGTGTGTGTGTGTGTGTGTGTGTGTGTGTGTGTGTGTGTGTGTGTGGCTCCACTTGCAGAGCATCACCCATTATCGTAAATAGGCCAATAAGTAACTTCACATAACGTGTCTCCATAGCAAGCATACTCTATATGCAAAGCAGAGCCGCACTGTTCGAGAAACTGGTGCCAAGTGATTATATTTGTAATTTAATTTCCTTGGTCACACAGAGATAAGAGAGAAAGCTGCTTCAGTTGGCCAGGGATGAATAGAGGTATGAGAATGGGACTACAGCTTCATTGTTTGGACTGAGATGTCCGAGACGACAACACTTACGAACAAGGGTGGGAGAGTGTAGATATGGTCCAATCACGGGGTAAAAAAAAAAAAATTAGACTCAGAGGCGCAGAAACAATGTAAGAACAGACGAAGAAGCTACTACAGTATAAGAACACCTGCTCTCGCAAATCGAATGGATGAAAGTAAAAGCCGGAGAATCAAGAACCTCTTTTTCCCTGATGCAAGCTCTGCCTCACTCCTCTCTGTCAGCACTCAGCTCCTCTGAACAAATGTAATCAGCAGGGTGGTCTGGGTGGGATGTCAGTCTCAAAGAGCAATGGCTCATTGCAGATTCTACAGGCGAGATGAACTCAGTCCCTGCAAGAAAAGACGACTGAAGGACATAAGGTTTTCTTTGGCTGTCTCCCTCCCTCTGTCTGCTTTTCACTGAGACTGTAGCGCTGAAGACATCAAATTCCCCGACTTTTTCCATTTTCAAAGAGTGTCCACTTACACTGATGACAATGCAGTGAAAGGGCACATGTGGTCAAGCTCTGATTTTGACTACATCAGAACATTCAGTCCCGCAGAGAGAGACGGGCAAGGTACAGGGTTTGTCACTATCTGACACCACACATTGCTGTACGAAAATCAGGGACAGTGTGAAACTATTGTGTGACATCTCAAATCCTCTCTCCCTCCCTTTGTTCTCCCCGCCTCTCATCTTTATGTCTGTTTTTTTTTTCTCCCACTGCTGTCTTGTCTTTCTGCGTATTTCCTCAGTGTTTTCACTTTGAACCCGACAGCATTAACCTGCCAGAAAGTTACAAATGTTCTGAGTGAATTATGTAAACCACGGAGAAATAAAACTGCAAAAAAGGATGGAGTTCTTGCTTTATTTCATAATTCATCACGCTCAAAGATCCAGCCAAATAAAAACTTGACTTATTAAGTAGTCCAGCACATTCTGGCTGAGAATCCTCTGAAATATGCTTGAGAATATTAATCACACTTTGTCTACCTCGCAAATAAAAACCAAACACACACACACACAAACACACATGCAGGCGCGTACATGCACAGATTTTTTTTTTTTCCTGTAGATGCATTACTCATCAAATGAGAGCAGTGTCTCACACATTTCACCAGATTTCACTGCAAGAGGCGAGGCATTCGATGTAACACCAGCACCACCAAAAGGTAAAGCAGAAAACAACAGTTTCTTTTGCTCTCTTTCTTCCCCTCAAAAACACAAATTTACAGCGCTGAAAATCAGATTAAGGAGGCTTCTTCTTGGCAGGCGGCAAGTTTATTTATTTATCTTGCTGAACACAACCGCAGCCCCACATGAGAGAAGAAAAACACACACTTTCTACTGGGGGGATGGCACACTGGCAATGCGGCGTAATTAGTGGGACATGGCTGTATAATTGGTCTCTAATTGATATGAAGAGCAGGGGTTCGAGCCAGGCTGTGTTGTACACATGCTGCCGGCCCCGGGCAGATCGAGGACGGTGGCCTGCTCAATCTTTGTTCCATCTTCTGATTGATGTCTCTGTAGCGAATGCCCTTCACCAATCAGTATCTGCAATCTCTCTGTGTCTATCAGGCCACCTGTCTATCTGTGTATAACATCTTCCACCATTCATCTGTCATTTCTTCTTTTGTGCCTGAACGTCTTACTATCTCTTTCTCTCCATCTCCACATTGATTCAGCCTGTCTCTCGCTGAGGGCATTCTCAACTTTTTGCCATGTTTTTCCCAGCAAGGGAAGGGGGCAACATTTGTGGTGGTGGTGGTGAGAGGTGGTAGCCCTGAAAGACAGCCTCAGACAACACCTACTTGGAAGAGAAAGAAACAACAACAACTTCAGATTAAAAGAAAAACTAATTTAAAAGGTTTTTTTATGGACTGAAGAAAGTGGGTCACCTGCTATCTCAATTATGAAAGTGAGCTTTGAAGAAGATTCTTGAAAAAATCAGAATTGAACTTATTAAGAGTCACAGCTGATAGGCACAGCTGGACACCGGAGGTCAGCAGACAGTGAGCTGAATGGATCAGAAGTTTTTTAGGGAAGCTTTTCAGAACATTTCCACTCATGGAAACGCGTGTGCCGAGGCAAGACGACCTTCAAGGACATTCCCCTCATTTACACAGCAATTAAGCACTACCCTGTTGGTAAATTGAAAAAGAGACAAAAATCCTCTGTGGATTTAATAACAAACTCATTACCAGGGCCCAACAGGGCGGAACTGCCTTTTAATTAGAGCAACACCTGATTAACGCCCAATTAACAGAGCCAGAGCCACTTAATTCTCCCCCACTTTGGCAGGTTGCAAGCATAAACATAAGCAGCCCAGCGTCAGAGCGCTTCCTCTCCCTTTGGGAATGTGTGAGAGAAAAGTAAATAACGACTCTAGAGGCGGTTTGTTGTTTGGTGGTCCAAATCTGCTGCAGAGCTGGGGAAAGTGGGCTCGAAATGCATGAGGTGAGTGTTTTCAGAGGGGAAACAGGCTGGCAAAAAACGTGGAAAATCCTGTTGGGCTTATGAAGGACAACTGTCCAAGCTGTGGACCATAATGTCCTGCTGCAGAACATTTGAGGTTTTTTTTTTTTTCAGTGTGTTAACTTACTGTTTTTTTAGCAACTCTTTTAAAAGACAAAAAAGGAAGTTTTGAGTACAAACTTTATTCAGCTGTTTGAAGAGTTTAGAGCCAAAACAAAAATAGCACATTAGCTCAGTTACAGGAGACGCAGTCAATTCTGGTACTCATTTGGAAGCTCATTAAGAATGCGGTAAAATAAGGGATACTAATGTAAAGTGAGAAGGTTGTTACAGCAGAATGAAACCCCAACAAAGTGATCACATTACACTTAACATCACCTCTAATGGTGAAGTAAACAAGGTGATCAGGAGTGCATGAGTCAGCACTGTACCCAACTTTTTTTTCTGCCTCTTCATTGCCAGTCTGGGAACTTTTTTCCATTTATCAATACCATGATGAGTCCCATTAGGAGTTTACTCGATGCACCGTCCTCTGTTTTTGTAAAGTTCTCTGTCGTAGTCTTCTTCCTTTGCTCTGACATGATTTCAATTAATCATCTAAAGTCTGTCTCTACAGCCAAATCCTTAAAGACCCACTCCGATGAAAATCATGTTTTTCTTGTTGTCTACATGCTCATATGGCATTTTTCTGATGTCACGGGACATATGAGAAAGTGCGAAATTGCATTTCTGAGTATTTCTGCATTCAAATCACTGTGCATCTCGTGCAGACCCAAACAGCAGGTTCAGACACAATGAAACTTCCTACGTAGCATATCCAAGCTCTGCCCCCGGAGCCACGCTATGCAGGCCAGACTCTGAGAAATAGAGAGGACAAGTGGATTGCAATGCTCGGAAGAAAGCTAACTATATTAGCTTTCATCATGTCCACAAAGACATCAGTGTCTGAGAGCTGAATAACTTCAATGTTACCTGCCACTTCTACTACACCAGCAATGTTAGGCTGCAAGCTAGCATGAAGTGTGCAGAGCAGTGCTGTCTTCACCCACAACTCAGAGGCGAATTGCTAATGAGCTACTGGAGCTCTGCAGAAGAAAAGCCCTTGAAAATGACACAGGTAACTTAATTTTGGCTAAAAACTTCATAATCACAACTTAAAGACCACTGACAACACTTTAAGTAGTAAAAAAAAAAAAAAAACTTTAACAGTAGTCTGTTCCTCAAAGCAACAGTCTGCTATCTGGAAATAGCACACAGTTGCTATGTGATAAAGCTCTTTACACAGCTGTGTCATAAATCACAAGTTCACTATTTGTTTTTACAGTCAGTCTTCTTTCTGTTTGTCAAAAGTGTCATATGTTCATCAACGTGATGCTAAGTAAACATGAATCAACTACACTGTAGCAACATCTGTTCATCACTTTGTCTTGGAAAAAGGTTTGAGTTCTTTGTGTGTTTTTTCATCAGTCCATGCTCGGGACAAATTGTAAAATGAGCAGCCCAAGCAGCTCCTCAAAGAGCCCTCATGCCTAATGACTTTCAGGATTCAGGATCTTATCAATCTCAGGCCAACATTTCAGCTCCACCAAAGTTCATCAATATTCAGTCTGGCAGTAAGTCTGTATGTGTTGATGAACAACTTTATCATGTACATTCCCTGCCATACCATGTCCTTGTTTCATCCCTCAGGTATATCTCTCTTCAGTCATGGTGTGCAAATGCAAGGGTCATAACCATCGCTCACAGAGAATTTGGCAGACTTGAGTTGAAAAGATAACCGCCATGACTCCACAGATTTTTCCAAGTCGGGCAGGATGTCAGGAACCACGGCTTGTTCCGCTATAAAGACTATGATCTCCACGATCAGCAGCAGGACCCATCCTAAAGCCCCCAGCCAGTAGGACGAGCCAAGGCTGGAGAGGTCCTGACGGATCTCCTCCTGATGCTGATAAGTGAAGATAGACCAGCTGAGCAGGAAGAAGAAACCTGTGGGTAGAAGAGAAAAAGAGTCAACTCAAGTATCATTGTGAGGAAAAGAAAGAAAGTCGTAAGGGTCAATTATTTTAGACCTCAAGCTTTAGAAAAGGGTTTGTATGATAATGAATTGCAATGCCAAAGTAAAAGCCCCTTTAAAACTGCTGCCCTGCAGGGTATATAAATGAGCCGCGCATAAAAAAGATTTTCAAGAGGGGTAGGCTCGACATGAACAGCACAAACCAAAAGGCTATTTGGGGGTTAATTGGAAATGGGACTACCTTTTAATCTCTCTCTTTCATTCCTAAACTGCCCCAATTTAAATTTTTCAACGTTAATAAGGTGACACACAAAAACATGCTGTGAGGCTCAGACCAGAGGCTTTTTGCTCAATTTGAAAAGTGCAGTGGTGTTACCTGTAGCAGCAAATGTGAGCAGGAGCAGTGTGGTGGGATAAAGGGCCTGTCCTGCCATGAGGAGAGCGCGAGTGTTTGAGTAGGAGCGCACCGTCTCAGACGTCCAGCAGAGGGCAAACACCAAACACAGAGCTCCAGTGCTCATCGCCATCAGAGAGGCAAGAACTCCAAATACTCTCTCTGCTTCTAGAGCTTAAAGACACACAAAACAATGCATAAATACAATAAAGCAAAAGATATGAGGCGGAGTGTTTGATATCATTTTGAGATGGACATAGTTTGTACAGTTTTCCGTCAGAATGATGAAGTGAAACATTGATGATACCACTCATGATGTGGCTCTCACATTCCCCTGCCTACATATGAAACCAGCGTGGTAAAATCCAAAGTTCATGAAAGGTTCTCTCTGTTTATGAGGGGGGGGAGAAAAGTTCATATGACACCTCATTTGAACTGTTCTGTTTTCAGTCTTAAACTGGAATACACCGAACATGCTCAGGGGTTGCTTTTTCATAAACAATTACCAGAAACTGAGGGTCCCATACACAAGGGACAATAGGGGAATAACGAGGAGGTGGGTTTTTCATCAGCAGTTTGAACATTAACATGTAAGAGTAAAAACAATGGCAAAGATGAAAATATCACCAATATTTTTAAGTTGAGAAGTTTTAGAACTTAAAAACAAAACTTTAGGTTGAATGTCAGGGCTGGGCCGTTTGACTGTGAAGTGATATGACCCAAAGCATCAGCCTGATCTAACATTATTTGTATACAGTTGGGCTTTTTAGCCAAAGTTATATCAAATAATCTGAAAAAAAAACAAAAAAGCAGTCACATTTGGTTAAGAAAGTGTTTAAAAAGAAACTCTGCTCCTTAAAAAGGGTCTTTTGATAAGTGAAGTAGAACATCCAGAAACAGATAACTTCATACACCTATCACCACTTCTCAATTTAACTTATCTCAATGTTAAACTTCCTATGCCAACTTCATGTTGACCCCTCATAGGTGATACTTCCCTCCTAGCATGGAGGACACAGTTGTTTGTGAGCTAACATGATCTGAACTTCCACTTTTTATTTTTCACTAAGCATATCTATGTTCCAGTGTGTATTTATCACATTATTGTTGTTCTCTCTTTTCTCCTGACTTTTCTTTTCCTTTGTTTTTTCTGATTTATTACCACTCTCATCAAATATGTCGTTTGACAGGAGCTTTTGATAAGATTTTAAAGGAAAAGAAGCTTTCCTCATCATTCTTTAGGGAGTCCATTAGTTTACCACTTGCACTGTCAGGGCAGAGGACTTATTAGGTTCATTCCTAAAGTAAATTTGTTGGTAAAAATGTAATTAATATAGGCGGTCAGTCAAGATGCCTTAAATGTCAATGAATGCAACAATCGCAGGTCAGGTTTAACCTGAGCAAGAAATCAGCTCATTTGCCTTTGGCTATGTGTGAGAGCTTCAGCACATGCAAGGAATGCATTTCTCAGGTACAGGCGCAGGCACAAACTTGTTTACTTCTGTGGAAAAGCTCCCCTATAACCCACTGTATTTCCAAGTGCTCCTCCTGGTGTTGTTTGTCTCCAAAGACATAGAGATATATGCCTGAAAAAGTCCCCCTCAGGCTACTCTCTTACAGAAATAGTACCTTATATAAACACAGCCTACAGTAACATATGTGTGCCTCATTAAATTTACCTCCTAGCTCACACGCTCAATTACAAATATTTGTCAGCCTAACCCTTAGCCTGAACATTAGTGACAGCTGCAGTCTGGTGTGTTGACAGTAAGTAAACGATAAAGAGGATAATACAGCATATTGCTCACCGTTGAAGACAATGCCGTCTTTACGAATGATCTGGCCATCACTGGTGTTATTCCTCTGTGTCCAGAGCCCCCTCTCATTCAGCCAGTAAGGTGTCCAGACTGCATAGCACACACACAGACACCCTGCCAATCCAACACAGGACTGAGCAAACCTGAAGCGACTGATGGAGTCCCCCAGCTCGACAAACTTCATGTTTGTTTATCGACTGAGAGAAAAACAGGGTCAAGAGGAGACACAGGAGGAATAGATTTGAAATTAAGGTCCAAACAATCTGTCTCTGAAATCATTCAAGTTCTCTTCAATAATATGAAACTGTATTTAAAGCAGTCTTACCTGTGTTATTGTAGAGTACAGAGGTCTCAGAAACAAACCTGTCTGATCAGTCCCTGAAGGAGGACTACGATGTACTAAAGAAACTACCGCTGTACAAATAGTCTGCGCTGGGATGAGCGTGCACTCCTACTACACATGACCACAAGCCATCACTTGTAGATCAAACCCCTCAGTGTTGCTCCTCCTCTGCTGCAATGGAAACTCCCCCAACTAGCGGCTAAAATTCCCCGTGAATCCTCCACTGTGGCCTACCAGGTCACACTGTAGAGAAAGTGAAAGCAACAACGACCACTCGCAGTAGAGCGAGTTTCTGTCAAACATGCATGAAAAAGAGTCAAGAGTTAGAAGTGAGAGAGGGTTCGTGAGCTGTTGTGAAAGAGATGATTAGTAGTCACATGAAGACACTGCATGTGAGTGTTTGTCTAAGGTGGGTTGACAGCAGGTCTGTAGTTTCAGAAAATCCCACTGACAGAAGACTTAGCGGGGCGGCGTGTTTTGGTTATTGATGATTCAGCTTCTGTTTTACACCGAGGTGTCACCACCCCTTCACTTTCCTTTGTGGCAATGGAACAATTTTCACAGCCCACCCGAAGGGAACTTTGTTTTCTTAAATGTCACACTGAAAGACCCTCAGAGCGCCTGTCCCAGCAAGATAAAATCTAATCTAATCTAATCCAAACTAATCTAGTATAATATAATATAATATAATACAATATAATATAATATGACAGGAAATCTCTTGAAATGAAATATTGAATTCATATAAAAAAATCATAATCCATGACTTTATTCACAAATTCTATTCTGTACAGTAATTACAACACATTATGATAAAATAAAGTATATTTGATGAAATACTAAAGTTTAACAATTCAAATTAAGATTCTTCGAATATGTAAGACAGGAAAATAACATTTTTTGTGTTAGCTTGCATTTGGCATTGATTTAAAAAAGAAAAGAAAAAATAAACCTGTATCTTTTAAGCCATAATTAAAATAACAGAGCATTCTCATATAGCAGCTTTCAAATAAGGCCTCAAGATTTAGATTTATATGTCATTGTTTATGTTCTTCCATACTTGTGCTCATCTGATGTTTCCTCTTCACCCACAACCAGGCATCAGACCTGACCGCCGAGTCCTTCACAATAGGGGGATGCTGTATGCTGAAGTGCTGCCTCTTGAAATCTGGCGGCTACATTTGTGCCTGTGCATCCTAAGCTTACTTCCTGGCTCTTTGCAGCAGGGCCTTGAATACATCAAAAATCTCTGGGTCCTCCCCACCAGACAGCTCCGGAGTGTTTTTCTCAAGCCAATCAGAAGAGCGGATCTGGTGCCTGAGAGTGTCGATCAGAGAGTCCAGACCCTCTTCAGGCTTTGACGCTTGGCAGTCCAGCAACACAAGCTCTTCGGTGGCCAGTGAGGCAGTGTCAGGAACAGGGCTGTCCTTCTCCTTCAGCTGGTCGGATGACTTGCTCTGGGGCGATGATGTCAAGTTGACAATTGCAGCTTTGTCTAAATCTGCACTGTCGTCTTTCACTGATCCTCTCCTCTTATTACATTTGGAATCACAGCTGGTGTTTATTTCTTCAATTTCTTTCAGAGCCTCCTTAAATCGCTTCAGGCCTGAAAAAGCACAAAATATTTACAGAGTAGGTTAATAACTGTTATCATATATAATGAAATATGGTGAGAGTAGCAACAAGCTAGTCTCCATGAAATTAAGCCTGTTCATACCAAAGATACCCCTCAAAGAAACGCACAAAGCCAAGCCACTACAACACACTGAAGTAGTTTAGGTGTATGAAAGGTATTTTCATCCACTCTATTCGTTCAATATGATTTTACTGAGAATTATTTTTATGATTATTACTTTGAGTATCATTTCATGTTGCCAAAATTCATTCAAAATTAAGTCTATTCTTTATTCTGATGGCTCTCCCCTGAAATTTTAAGATATTTATGTTGAAAGCAACTTCACTCAAGCTAACTGGAGAATACCAACTTACTTTTCCTCTCACAGTATCAGTTCAACATCTGGTTTTTAACTGAGACAGCTTTTAGTGGTGGGAGAAAAAATCGATACAGTACAGTATCGTGATATTTTGTCTGGTGATAGTCAGTGATAGTCAAGACATGTCGTCTCATGTACCAAGAATCGATTTTTTTTTAAATTAATTCTTAATATAAAGTCAAATCTATGATAATGGAAAAATCAAATCAACTGTTTGTCCAGTGAGGTTGGCAGAGGTGACATCTTAGAGCAGGAGAAAGTTAGTACAACAAATATAGCAGCACCTAAGGGAAAGACATTAGGAATGCAAACAGGAAGCAAATGAGATGGACCTGACACATAAGGATTGCAAGATGTGCTACATGAAAATAAAATGCTGTTTAAATAAGACAAACATTAAGGAAAGACAAACGCTAAATTAGCTAAACAGTTGAAAATTTTGTATAAATCACAATACATTATATCGCAATACTAAATGTATTGCAGAATGTTAAAGATCAAAACAATATTGCATTGTGGGGCCAATGGTGATTCTCATCCTTAACAGCTATATTTAACATGGTGAAATGTTTCTTTGATAGACAAAAACATAATTTCTGAGAAAATAGTGAGAAAGTAGAAATTGAGTGTACTTTCTCACAAATACTGAGTGTACTTAGTGGATGCTACTGCGCGACATGCAGAAAAGATCAATGTCTTGAAATGACACCAATCTGTTTTGTTTAAAATAGAAAACATAACACAATCACACTTGATCTGAAAAGGACATTCAATTTTTTCAACAGGTTTTTGAGTCCAGAGATGGAGCTCAAAAGATGAGCAGGCATGAAAAGTAACAGAAGAGAAACAAACCAGTTTGTAGTTAAGTGTTTTGCAAAAGACTGACCAAGCTGCAGGATATGTGGTTCATTTGCAAAGATAATCCTGAACCAGCCAGGTGTGGAGCAGAAGAAGGCCTGGCCGCAGCTCACAACCACCTTGTGTTCGAGGAAATGCCTCCACAGGGACAACTCCTCCTCAAATGACGCCTCTCTTAGGTACTAGAGAAATTGGGAAACAGAGGCATACGTGAAGCCTAGGGGAATACTCATCAGAGAGAAACCGTGAAACTTGTTGAAATAAAATTTTTAATGCAACAGAAAAAAAAACAGAAATTTGAATCAATAAAATATCAGCAAACATCTCAAAGGCACCTTTCTGAGGTCCACCCAGGTGAACAGTGCAGCAGGCCAGTCCAGGTAGGGGATGCCACAACTCTGCAGCTCATCCTTCAAAAAACTGTGAGCAGCTTTAAGTCTGCTTCTGTTCTCTGGCAAAAACTCCTTGTCGACCCAGTCTGGAAGATAACAGTGAGAACAGACGAAAGGTGAGGCAGCTCGAATGTTGACAGCTTTTTGCAGCACAGAGTACAGCTCTAGTCCATACTGTGCTCCAGTTTCATCCTGTTCATGTGCGAGAAGTGTTTTCTGATGAAAAAATCTCATGCTGCTCGCAAACTCATAGTTCAGTGTGAATATCTGCTGCAGCGAGGCTAATAAAACGTAGCAGATGTAAATCCTGTTGCTGATAGTCTTACTTGCTTTTATGGGTTATAAAAAATCTGTTCATGCCATTTGGTTTCATAACAAACTGAAAACTCTTTACAGGAGCTTCAAATTGTAAATAATTTTGGATTATGTTTTTTTTAGGTTTTTACCCAACCAGAAAAACAGCTTGATTTGTGGATTTATGTGGATTTTTGAGAAATCATACGCAAGAGCACTAATTTTCTGATGCAGCTCAGCTTCTTACTATCATACGGTATAACTGCAATAACTATCTTTGATGTAATTTACTGACTTTTGTAACTAGTAACACAAAAAGTACTATTCTATTCAAGGCACTATCTCTTCGCATTTAAATACCTTATACACATGACTTTGGACTGATCTGACCCTGGAAAGTTGGGTATACAATTATACCTTATCTTATGTGATGGTGTTGACTGAGGGCTGATTGTCTAAAGAGAAAAGAATGAGTATTCAAAGTTTCGATCCATACCTCTGTCCCGCAACAGTTGTGCCACCTGGTGCTGAGTGATTCCAGAGACAGTGTGAAACGAGCCCAGCCGTGCCATAGCCGCCACCAGATCTCTGTTCTCAGAGTACAGTGTGCCAACTCTAATTCCTGACATTGCAAAGTCCTGGAAAAAAGAGAGAGTAATTGAGATAGTCATGAGAGAAAAAAAAACAAGTTCTACAGAAAGATAAAACTGAACTCTCACTGTTCACAGGCATACAAAAAAGCCTCATAGGGCTGCACGATTTTGGCCAAAAATAAAATTCAGATTTTTTTCTCTGAAAACCCCATTTTCGATTTTTTTATTCAGTGACAACTTAACCAAATTTAACTTTACAAATAAGATTTTCTATCATGTCTCAAAACCAAACCACTGAAAACAATGTAGTGCATATGCCAGGCCAGTAAGTAGCGCTGTAACGCTGCCCAGGAAATGCACAAAAGACAAAAAAAGAGTACGGAGCATGCGCATTAAGGTAGTTTTGGCCGGACATGCCCAGGTGCCATAAAAGAGTTGCGCTGTGTGTGACATAATCGTTTCAAGAGCGATGCAGATAGACATCCACATGGAGATGAAATGGTAGTTATTTACGGATTTATGCACTCTCATATCCGATAGATAGTACTGTTTAGAGTCACCCGAAATGCCGGTTCGGCAACTTTGCAGCGGGGAGTGGTTTGCTCTTCGTCCGAAATTGCGAAGCTGTACCAATTCCGTATGACTGACTTGCCCTTTCCCTATTTAGCCACAAAATTATCGCCTTCCTTTGCAAACGCCATGTTCGTTTACACTGCTGTGTGTGGGAACTGGGGCGCGCTCTCGCAGGAAGGGGGAGCCTATGGTGACCTGGAGGTGCAAGACTTGATAGAGCAGAAAATCTATTTGACGATTTTAATTTTTTTTACATCGTCATAATCAAATAATCCCATTATGAATTAAAATTGATTTATCGTGCAGCCCTAAAGCCTTACAGTAACAGCTCCTACCTTACTCATTCCCCACATTACATGTGTCCTCTGCGGGTCGGGCAAACTGAAAGACAAGCACATCATTAAGAGGTGAGGGGGCTTTCTTCAGCCACAGTTGCTATTAAGTAGGGTGTAATAGAATAATGATGAAGAGGTAAGGTTCATGCAGTACCTGTCTAAACCGAGGACACTTTGATAGGTGGCAGATTGGTCAAAGATTGACAGCATGTACAGTTCATCAACAATGGCATGGAGCTCATTCCTGCAGCAGGAAATGAAGGGGCGGGGGTTGGGGGGGGATTCAGTGCAGAAATTATAAACCTGGGCCTTATGTTAATAAATGAGTATGACAAAATAATCAGCTCAAGAATTAAACTGTTTCTCTAGCATCCTAATTGAGTGTATAAAAACTGTTGTTTACGGTAACAACAGCTCAGTGCCTGCGAGACCCTGCAGAGGGAATAATTTCAGACAGATCATTTCCAGAGTCTCCCTGGCACACCACTGCAATTCACAATATGTTGATGTTTAAGAGAGGTGATAAAACTCCATCAGGAGAAATTCCACACATGAGACAGGGCTCCTGTCCATAAAATAGAAAAAGTCACACTAACAGCTGTATGCAGCAGCGCCTTGGTGATTTGCAGAAAGGGGCCCCAAGACTATAAGCATGCAGGAAAATAGACTTAGACCTCCTGTGTGGGCTAAGTGTGGAGTAAACATACTTTTTGGCAAACTCTAAGAAGGCGATCATCTCCTGGGGGGTGTAGATCTCAGCCAGAGGGTTGTGAGGGTTCATCAGTATAACAGCTCGGATGATCATCCCCTAATAAAGACAAACAACCTCTAAATGCACATAGACTGAACTCCTGCATCTTCACAGTCTAAATAAGAGATAAAGTAAAAACTGTCTGACTTATAGAGCAACCAAGGCATTTATCTGGAAAAAAAAAAAAAAACCTCTACCACAGCATGTTTCAAGTGGTTTGGCCTCTTTCATATTTTCATTTACGGAGAGTGCTTCAGAAAAACAAGGCATTCACAAATTACCTCTTGCCTTGCTTTTTTCAGACTTTCTTCCAGTTTCTCTACAGTAAGCTGAAAGGGTCGGCTGTCTTTGCCATCAGCCTGTCAATTAAAAGAAAAGGAACATTAAATATACACCAACAGACAACACACCCTCATACAAGAGTTCAGAGACCAGGTGAATGTAAACATGGGCGACAGTCAGTGTAATCAATGAGGATCACACTGTGGGAATAGTTGGCAAGCAGTGTAAATAGCTCAGTCTCTGTGTTCCTACCTCACAGTCCAGAGGAACATGAAACAGTTTGACACCGCTGTATAAGAGTACATCCTCACAGATGGAACCGTAGAAGGGGGTAGCAATGAGAATGGCATCTGCAAGTTGAAAATCAAAACACACAGTTTTCTTAAAGGTACAGAATCAACAACACAAACAGTGTTAAATCACTAAAGATGCCTTATCTCATTAATCTGTCTGACTCTGTGATTTTAGTTTGAGATCTTAGCATAACCCTACTTCATTTTTACCTGCTTTTTTCATTCCCATGACATGTATTATCTCTTAAAATTCTAAGTCGTACGTCTCAGCTTTACCTTTTTGCATTAATCATACTGGCATTTACTGACCTGTTTCCATATACCTAATAAAACTCTCATTTGTAAATAAATAAAAAAAAAAAAGTCAATTAGATGCATTAATAGCTATTATTAGTGACCCTTACAAGCTACTGTTGTAGCTGGTAAAAGTTCTTTTTTTATGGCTCTGTTGGAAGTTAATGAGCAATGGCTGCTGAAAAAAGCAGTAATCTGATGATGAATCAAATGAATGGCTTACAATGTATGATGCAGTTGGTGGCACAAAAAGAAGAATACTATTTGCCTCTTAGGACAATATGACATTGCCTTAAGCTCCTGTACAAAGTTTTTGACATTTTTGAAACAGACTGAAACTCTTTTTGATTCTTTTTTTATTTTATCATCAGCAGGATAAAAAAATAAAATAAAATAAATAAATAAAATAAAATAAAACTTAAAGCCCCAACTTAAAGCTCCTGTATGGAACTTTCAATTTTTGCCAATTTTGGTGCCCCCATGTGCACAAAGCAGTCTCATCTTTCCCTACATATTTGAAGCTCCTATGAGGAGTTTTTTGACAGTTAAGAAACAGACTGATATTTATAGTCCTACATTTACATGGTACTCAAAAGCAGACAAGACCATCAGTGACAAGATTTGTTAGCCTGGCTGGGCCATCCTGTTGCGTGAATCACTTGCCGTTCCTTCCCACAACAGTCTGGACTTCGGCCAATTGGGAGCGTGTATTAGCGATCAGAAAATAACCGGGCCAATCAGAGACTGTGTTTCCACTGTTACCCGGACAACAGGGAAAGGCAGCCCCTTATTGGTCCATGTGTAGATGGTGACGTCTAACACATGCTGCGGGACTTTTCAAAGCCCCGTTCATTCAGAACGCCGTTAATTCTGCACTTGACTCTGCAAAGTCGGCAGAAATCGTTTATATCCGATGTCTTCTGCGGATATAAACGGGATGGACATGGACCAATCAGGGGCTGCCTTTCCCTGTTGTCCGGGTAACAGTGGAAACACGGTCTCTGATTGGCCCGGTTATTTTCTGATCGCTAATACACGCTCCCAATTGGCCGAAGTCCAGACTGTTGTGGGAAGGAACGGCAAGTGATTCACGCAACAGGATGGCCCAGCCAGGCTAAAGATTTGTGGCTTTTATATTGTACTTTTTTATACCTGAAATCAGTGTGTGTGTGTGTGTGTGTGTGCTTCTACTTTTGCCGGATGCTGGAGCATGGCGCATCAATTCAGTGCAGCGCAGCATGAGCAGCAGCAGAAGTTTTATGCGGTTACAGAGTAAAATATCCGGTTAATTTTCAAAATAAAATAAAGTCAATACATTGAACTCTTGTTAACTTGATAATAGGAGAGGCCAGGGTTGTGGGATGTGGATGTTTAGATACACCGCCGTTTATATGACCCCCGGGGAAACACGCGAAATCTCGTGAGATCTCGTCCAATCTCGCGAGAAATATCAGTAGTCTCATGAGTGCTTCTTCTCCGATGGTGGCGGCGGATTGGATCCGGTGGGTGCTGTATGCTTGCGAATCTGATCCGCCTGCCGGTCCGGAGCAGAGCGGAGTGGAGCCATTCCAGATCCTGTGGGTTTAGCCAGTAATGCTTGAAGTGAAATTTACATAGACTGTATATAAGATGGACGCCGTCTGTCTCCTCGCCGGGTGAAGCCACTCCGAGAACAGCACCCCCTAGAGCCTGGCTGCAGTACAAGTAATAAACCCCACTTCTGCCAGCAAAGTCAATGGAGCCGCGGACGCCCTTTAGAAATTAATTTAACAGAAAATACACTTTTCTCACCCCCGACTGCGATGTTGACATGTAGTTATTATTAGACTGGTTTGTGTTCAGGTCTTCTTTTCTCTCTGCAGCTCCATTTTAAAAAGTTATTAGGAGTTATAAAAACAGGAAATTGCTTTTTGAGTTGAGCGTCATCGCTCAGAGTCTCCCGCCCAGCCAAAAACGTCTGCGTACAACGCTACTGCACAGCTCTGGTTTCAAGGAAGTGGAGAAAAACCCAGAATTACCGAGAGCTTTTGGCTTCAAATACGTATACAGGCGGAAGGCGGAACCAGGCTGTCCATCTTATATACAGTCTATGGAAATTTATGTGAAAAGTCACAACTTCAGCATGTAAAGGACCAGATAAGTAAAGACTGCCTTGTCCACACGGGATGCCAATACCGACACGAACCATAAATTCCTCTCAGTAGCTCTGATTAAATGACTTTGAATTAAACATGGTTCAGAATTTTTATGTCCCTTTCTACTTAGTCTGTTCTTGTTAATGCTAAGTAATGTAGCTGTTTAAAAGTAACATTTTCCTAGCTACCCAGTTCTCTTTATCCTTTTCTTTGACAATACCATTTCTCAATAGAAAAAAGACAAACACATTATGTTTGTAAAGCTCTGATATAAATGCATTGTGTGTCTGTGTGTCTGTGTGAGTGGGAATGCGTCAGTGTGTTGTGAACCTACCTTCAGGGTCACAAATTACTGCGCCAATACACGAGAATAGAGAAGTACAGCCATTCATCACCACAACCTGAACAAAAACACACATCAACAGCATTATAAAAGACCCAATTAAGGCAAAAAAGGGAGGTGATAGAAATGCTACAAATTCATCCACCCAAAGAAGCAGCCATTTGTCATGTTTATGAGTTAAGCTGGTCAGTCTTTGAAAAAAAATGTTTGTTGTTCAGTTCAGTTGCAGCATCTTTATTATTTTTACATTGTACATATAAATGAGCCAAATTCATGGCCTTCATTTTAGAGAACTAATGATAGTAATCCGGAGCGTGCAGCAGCAGCAGCAGGATGAAACGATGAAATTACTCTTTTATGGTACCAGTTGCTTCAAATGCAGACCCTCTGCCAGTCCTTTGAATAAAGCTCCTTCACACAAATACATTTTAAAAAATGCATACTGTAACAGCCAAGCTTAAAATCCATACAACGCTCTGACGTAAGAGCCAAAACGAACGTGAAAATAATGTTTTGAGGAAAAAGATGTATTTCAGTACTGCTCAATGAGTCTGAATATTTGGTACTTAGTCCAATAGAATCATTTTCTTCCACAAGCACATAATATTTTACAGGTAAAAGTGAGAAATGCAGAAGTATATCTGGTTAAAGCTGCAGTTCAGCAGAGGTTATACAACTTACTAACAGGGCAACTTGCAGTTTGGTGATCTCAGTGAAGCCCTGTGTCAGAAATTGATTTTTTAGCATTCCTTTTAAAATATAACATGTTAAATTGTGTAATGTAACAAAAGAAAATCCCTCTGAGTAAGTTAATATTCAACATTATCAACTATGGATTTTTAATGTTGGTTCTGCTGCTACCTTGCATAAAGAAGGAGACAATGTTAATTTGCATGCTCATGAAGAGCCACAGGGTTATCATAACAAGCCTGGTAGAAGCCAAGAAAGAGTAAGAACAGGACAGATTTAAGAGAAATCACAGCCACAGGAGATGCAAAGCTGAGATAACAGTTGTGGATGGGTGGTGTTAGCTAACAGTATCTAATGCTGTGTCCACATCACAGACTGTTAGTTTACAACAATCCAGTGAAAACACATGATTTATGGAAAACACGAGCACAGATAACATGGATATATCTGTATGAATGATATATTCATGCCTTATCCTCCTCAGTATTGTGGGCAACCTGTCTTTTATTTTTACGTCCTGCCCACTGTCAGATTTAATGCTTGATCTACAACTCCACGTTGTTAATGACATAACTGGGAGATGAGATCTGAAATATCCCATGGTGATGATAATACAAGCATTTTTTAACATGACTGTGTGTGTTTGTCCCACAAATTGTGCATTAAAAACTGAGACCCCAGTCTAAATTTAATTTACATGTTGGACTGATAAGTGGTAGAACTGTCCAGGAATATCAGGATTATGAAAATAAAATTTATTTTTACTTTATTTGGTTCAGAATTATCCTCCACGATGCAGCTGTAGCAACTCATAATGTAATTATTACATGATGCGCAAAGACATTATTACGTTATGCGCCCATGATTTTACATAATGAGCTCATGAAGTTTTATATCATTTAAGTTATTTCATAATGAGCCATTATTACATTGAGTTGCTACATGCAGCTAAAAAATGGCTCAAAAAGTACAGAGAGATAAAGACAGACAGAAAGATGACTGCATCACTTCAATTTGATTTGATTTGGCGTTTGTCTTGGAAATGCCAGTTTGTAGTTTTAGCCTCCTGCTACTGGACGTTGAACTACGGCCTAAGTCCCCCTTGTGATGTATCATAAAAATGTTTTCATCGAAAACAACTACTCTCAGTTTATGCACACATGTCCTTATGTCCCTCATGTCATACAACAAAATTTAACTTTGTACAGTAGCCATTTAAGGACAAAGTTAGTTGCTGTAAAAAGTCCACCTGGGAGTCACTCTTTAAATACCTAGAATTTAATCATTAGCTTGACCTAAATTACCAGGACTATAGGCGTTGTTTAGAGAGATGCTTATCATCCACAATATAGAGTGATGAAACCATCTCTGTCCAGTCACCCTCTTGGCATGAGCGGGTGTACTGTAAACATATTAAAATGTGCCTACTGTCCCTAAAACAATGTTTTTGTCCTCCATGGCCACAAAAGTTAGTAAAGCACGTCAAAGTCAAATATCTTCACTCACATTGTCGGCTTTCAGTGGCTTTGGAGATTGGCAGTAATGAGTCAGGAACTTCGCCACCTCCTGTCTCAGGCTGAAAGAGAAGAAGTTAAAAGGGTTTCAAGAGGGTGGCACTTCACTCTGAGAGGATAATATAAATTAAACATTACATACAGCTCACATAAATGACAGCAAAGGTCAACTTATATCACTTACAATAAGTGTCCTCTTGAGTCTGCATATTGGAGTAGGGATGGCTCAACATGAAGCATGTCAGGCTGGGTCAGCTGGTACAGATGAGACAATGAAGCTCGGTTAAACACAGGTGAAATCATTTAATCATTAACACACTCCATAGCTTCATAAAATCTTCCTATCTTAATCAGCTTGTTTTTTCATCTTACCCGTTTGAGAAGAACATCATTGCACAACTTGTTTTCACTGGTACCGAGGTTGATTATGCCCTGAGAGTGGATAGAAAAGGGAAAATCTTTTCATTGATAGCTGTGGTATCCTGTTTCGGACACATTCAAACTGAATAAAAGAAACTGCACTGCAGAGACTCACATCAGGGTTATCAGTGTTGTGGTGTTTGTCCATTCCATATCGGACAAAGCCCTCTGTAAGAATGCTTGGATGCTGCCTGATGCTGTTCCCACGGTTGGACAGGTACGCGCTGGTTGTCAGAGCTCCATCGACTTTCTTCGCAGCTGAATTATTCTGAGACATTTTGGAGGCCTTCAATGGTTCAAATGTTGAATTGATTGTGTCCTGAGTGACAGTAGCCTGTGTGGTAGCAGCTTCTGAAGGTAGATGAGAGAGTAAAGTGGAGACAGAGGGGGCAGCTGTGGTTATCAGAGACACAGACCGGTGAGCAGGAGATGAGAGGGAGGGGTCAGCTGGTGTTGCTGCAGTGGTTGGAGCGCTCTGTCTGACAGCAGCCAATGCCCCTGTGAGCATGCTGAACAGGCGGAGCTCATGTTGGCGCTCCTGTTCCGCCCTTTTGTCCTCCCTCTGCTCCCTTCGCTCCTCTGCTTCAAACTCCCTCTCCAGCCGCGTCTCCTCCAGGGAGAGGAGCCGCTCTTCTGCTGACTGCTGCCAGTTCAGGAAGTTGACCAGAGCCTTATCCAGACGGCTCTGGCTGCCACATCTGGCACCATCGTGGCCCCTTGATGTCCTCCCACCCAGGCGGCGTTTCTTCTGTCTCAAAGAGGAATGGGGGTGAGGAGTTTCTTTAGTGAGCTGCTCAGATGTGTCCTCTGGCATAGGAGCACCAACAGACTGGGTGGCAGCTGAGGCAGAGCCTACGGTGTTCACATCACTGAAACCTGTGGATGTGGAAGAAAGAAAAAAGTTATCAACATAATGTCACGCTCCTACTGTAGGGGAGACCGGGGCTTGTTGTCACATGGGTAAGTTGTCACATTGCAATTATCTTTGCCACCAGCAGGCGCAAATAAAAAGTGGATTACTAGTTTTCTTCCTTTACATGGTCAGGGGTCGTGTCCTGTCTGAAAAGAGGAGAGCACATTATGAGCTGAGATGAGTGCCAATTAACCATTTCGCACAACCCAAAGTAAAAACAATTGACCTTATATATTTTAAAATGAGCTTCTTCCAGATAAAAATCCTAGCAGTGATACATGTGAACTTGTTAGATGAGAGTTTACGGCATTCTGTCATACCTCAGTGTTTAAAAGGGATTAAAATCAACATAGACAGTCTGCTTTTCAGCAGTTGTCATATTGGAATATTGACTTTTATTGAGAAAAGAGTGGTTTAAAGAAGAGGAGACATGGTCAGGAATTAAAAAAAAAAAAAAAAGAACATGGCAGTGCAGTACCTGACGTGATGCTGAGGGCAGTCAGGCAGGTGACCCTAACTAAAAAATCAACCTGGAGTACAATGAAGGACTTTAATATCAACCACCATACCTTGACTCAGTACAGCTAAACATTCATCCCTGCCGAAATACAGAGTCAGACAGCCCTCCAAACTCCAGAGTATGTTGCATAATATTATAGGTTGTTTGTTCAATGACTTTTTCTAGCTCAATGAGAAACATTTTCTGTGTCTAACTTTGATGTTCACTTTCAAGTAAAAAAATGAGAACAACAACTTTGTCCTTGTTTCATTAGCTGCAAAATCCACTGTGACATCTTACCCCATGTAGTGAGACAACTTACCCAATGGAGGGGCAACATGTCACATGTTCACACTCTCTATTTGATTACTTATAACTCTGCACTGACACAAGATATAAAAATGACATGAATACAACATTTATACCTGAGACTTTGGTCTTTCGTGTGGTACACACTTTGTTTACATATGATGTTTTGATTCCAAGAGCTATATAAGAGTGTAAAAAGTGTGACAACAAGCCCCGGTCTCCCCTACATCCCTGGCTGTAATAGTTACAATAAACTGATAGTTTGCATTTCTAACCTGAAGGTGAGATTCTTGCATTCGCTGAGCTCGCTCTCACACCCAGAGTGTCATCTGGCTCAAGCAGAGACTGTCCATCAGTTTCCTGATCATCCCCAGATCCATAATACATCTCAGGGGGAGCAACACCTGAGTTTAGCATGCTGTCATCAACATCTTCACATTTAATATCCAGGGGATCTCCAGGTTTTGGAGGCTGACCAAATAGAAACCCACCTGTGCAAGCAGGACCAAAGGAGCCTGCAGGGAGTCCTTGAGAATAAGACTCAGACCCGCTTGTACTCTGAAAAACCTGTTGAGCGATAACAGCACCCCCCAGGGATGAGTACGTGACGGCGGGTCGGTTCGCCAGCACCCTGTCCATCACATCATAGAACTTCCAGGACCTCATCTTGTAGTTGTCTTTAATGCGGCGGTACTCCAGCTTCATCTTCTTGATCTTCTCCCTGCACTGGTCCCCGGTGCGGTAGATGCCCTTTTCGCGCAAGATGTGGGCGATGCGGTCAAAGACGCGCTGGTTGCGCAATGAGCTCTCCAACTCGATCTGGACCGACTCATCGGACCACAGCTGGAGCAGCTCCACTATCTCCGGGTCGGTCCAGTTGCTGCCTCGCTCGTGCCTCCTGCCGCGAAAGTCCATCCTTTAAGTTAGGAGACGTGGTCTCCACAACACAGGACGAGGGGATGAAATGAGGAAAAAAACACACTTTACCTCCCAACTTCAGGAAAAATTGACCAAGGACAGGATGAATACTGCTTATGTGCATTATTAATCTCCATAGTTTACGTGAACAGTAGTAATAAGACGTTTCTTTGACCCTCTTCCATGTTTTCAGCCTACATCCACAGCGGTGCTCTGCGCTTCACGTCCCGCTGACATGCAGACGTGCTACCAAGTGGTCACATGCCTCATGGCTGGTTAACCCGGTTTGGACCGGTTCGAAACTGCAGAGCTAAGTCTTTTCGGAGCTAAAATATCCCACAAGATCTAAAGGCAAATTTGGTTATAACTTGGTGGAATAGGGAACAGACGCTTGCTCGCATTTCTACATCCGGGTTGACGGCACATGCGTGCTGTCCTTATTCCGGGATAAATTTGGTCCGTGCTAAAGGGGGGGGGTGGCTGCTGGAAACGGGCTTGGTTCCACTCATACCAGGCTGTAACGGGGTAAACAGCCGTGCGAGTCTGAGCCAAAGTGAGAGCACTGCGATAGGGCCCCCCCTACCGTACTGTGTGTTATTATATTCGTACGTGCAAGTCCACCAGATGTCCACAAGATGGCGGTCTCACACTGTGGTACAGCTCAGACCGGGCTGTGAAAATGAGGGTGCGTGTTTTGTGTACAGGCATGCACCGGCAATCTGTGGAAACCACCAAAAAGCACACGTGGTTTAAGGCGTATAACATAGCATATAGCTGTTTAATTTATGTATTGAAACACATATTTACAGATAGCTGTTAACAGGAAATTTCAATGTTGATTCAGTTTTGGTTCTTATGCATATATTTGGCTGAATTTCTACTTCCATTGTTGGTATTTGTGCACTCGTGATTTTCTGTATCCGTTAAATTGTTAATTTTGAAATATATTCACTAAAGCTCCATACTATAGCATCATGTGCCTCTTTAAAATAAATTATTTTAATTAAAAAAATATTCGAAATATTTAAAAATTATAAATATAAATATATAAAATATAAATTTAATATAAATGATTAAATAAATAAAAATTAAATATCAAAATTAAAAAAAAAATATTTTTTAAAAACGAGTAATTCTTTTACTAGTTTTAACTCTGCACTCTGCCTTTTTTTTTACTGTCTAATGTTTTATTGACCCTTTTTAATGCACTGACTGTAAAGGCACTTTTTAATTTCGTTGTGCTTGGAACAGTGCCTACAATATTATATTATATTATATTATATTATATCATAATATATTATATTATATTATATCCATGTGAGATAGATAGATAGATAGATAGAAGATAGATAGATAGATAGATAGATAGATAGATAGATAGATAGATAGATAGATAGATCTGGCCATAATGTTTCGTTTGTCAAATTTAACAGAACGGCTTATAAATATCGACAAAGAAGTGAGAAAAACGTAAGCTTCACTATCTTTTGTCCTGCTTCACTCTGTACACAAAGAAACAGACCCGCCCTCCTGAACGGTCGAGTTAAGACGAATCGAGCACAACTGGTCTTTCACTTGGCTGACTGTGTGACGTATTTCCTGGAGCAGCGGAGGATTTGTGGCAGTTTGTTGTTATCTCCATCCAGTAGTGTGTCGTTCTACTGTACAGGCATGTTGCACCTCTCCTCCCTTTTAAGGTGTATTCTCATTGCAAGAGTGAATTTGAACTAACGCGCTCCCTAAAAGCCATGATAAGTAATTCGGGAGTGGCTACAGGGACAGGTAAAGGACTCTCTGGGCGCGACGGTTGAAGTTTACTGAATTTAACCATGGTGATGTTGGGGGCAAGTTGGGGGCGGATTTCGCGCAGGACGAGATAGTAGAACTCAGCGCGTCCGGTGGAGGATGAGTGTGTGCGGACAGTGTTTTTATTCTGTTGTTATTGTTCACCTTCAGGACTAAGAAGAGGACGCACAGCGTCAGGTTAGATGCGAAGTTGCAAGTCGAGCCGCAGAAGAAAAGGGGAGTCTCCGCCCGCCCGCCCGGAGGCTGAGACGAGATAGAGGATGAGGAGGCATGATGTCTAGGTTCTTCTTAACACCCTCGTTGTTGTAAAAGCACTCAAGAGTTCGCTGGATGTGTTCAAAGCAGGGAGGGCATCCGTGGCAGAGTGGGTGGAGACAATGGGAGTATTTGCTGAACGCGTGACGGCTATTACACCATAAAGTGTCTGCCAGCGCCGTGGACTGTCTCCACCAGTCTTCCCAGTCAGGTAAACTCTCGTCTGATCTCGACAACAGGCTTTCTTTTCTCATTAATGGTGGACTTCGTTTTTTTGAAGGAGACATGCCTTAGAAACACTCAGCTTTCATCCGCAGCGCTTCCTCTCTGAAGTTGGTAAGATAACAACATATTTGTATTGACTGTCTTATTAAGAGTGATTTTTTTTGTTTTTTTGCATTATGTCTCATCAAACTCAGGTTTGTTTTCTGTTTCTTTCCTTCCTTTTCCTCATTCTCTAATCTATTTGCTCTCATTCTTATTCACCCCTCACTTGTAAACCCCTCATCAAGTGCTTTTATCAGTGTAAGGTGGTAATAGCTTAAATAAATTCCACTAAGTGCTGCTTTCCAGGCATGGCACGATAGGCTTCAGACCTATATACTTACTATTTCTCTTCCCACTGGCATCAGATACATGCGCCTTTTTAAAGACAAGGCAAACTAAGCTCAGTATGAACCACCAAACGGAGAAACTTTAAGTGATTTCTCTCGTGCTGCTTTGTTTTGGTTGCCTGTATTGTTATTTTTTACCTCTAGTGTAACTCCCACTGGGATCTCAACAAGGGAGGAAGCCAAGGTCACCAGCTACTGAGGCAAACAGCTCAGATCCAAGCCTCTTTCTCAATCGGATTACCTCACCACATCAAAGATCTTCCTATAGTACTAATCTTTTTTTCACTCTTTGTGTTTGGCTGGGATCTTGCCCAAGCCAGTTTAAAGATCAAAGCTATTAAGAGGGTTGGTCCGGCGTTATGTTTATGTCGCCAGAGGAAGTCAGGCTGAGTGGTTTGCTCTCTCACACACACTTACACTTTGCCCTAGATGCCACCTTTTCAGTGCCTTTGATTTTCCACCAGCCCTGGGTTTAACAATGCAAAATCTGACAATTCAAAGATTTTAAAAGAGGCCTGTAATAGGATCGCAACAGAGAATAAAAGACGAAGAAAGACAAACTTGTCAACAATATAACTCATCTTTAAACTGGGGCAGAAGGAGGAAGTTTGACACAGGGAACAATGCCAAGATTCAGATGGCTGTTAAAAACTAGGTTGGATGTCTCAGTGGGACATCACTTAGAGAATTGATTCTTCCTCCAGGACACATTGCTGCTGCCCCAGACAACATTTTATCAGGCTTTTCCATCTCCTCAGCTCATAGGCTGTGGGATCTAAGATGGATCAGGCTTTAGTGGTACTCAGTCATGGTATCCTCACTCTATCGCTCACTCCACAGTGCGCCTAAAATGATCGCAGCACAGCTCACTTCCAGCTGTGGACTGCTGTCCTGACAGAGCACAACACGCTTGTTCAACATCTCTGCTTTTCCAATCACACTTAAACTTAGAGGAAATTGTCCTCTCAGGAGAGGATGCATAGCTGTCAGTGGTGCTTCACAAATGCTGCAACTCTCTCCTGTGCCTGTTTTTTTTTTCTTTGGGAGGGCAGCTCAGAGCACATGGTGGGTGTTGATTTGGCTGGTGGGCAGCCTGAAATAGAGCTGGAGTGCTGCGTATGGTCTGTCACAGCTCTGCATGCTCGTCATTAGCAACGGAGAAGTCCTTTTCATCCTCATCATCCATTATGCTGTCAGAGATGTGGAGAAAATGGGCTGAATGTATGCTTTATGTCAAACACATCCCATTTTTTACACATGTTAGTGTGTAACACTGGGTGCCTGCCTGCTGCTCACTGAGCTGTTTCTCTGCTGCAGCTGGGGGTCAAATGCTTTTCAGGTCATACACTTTTTCCAGATGGAAAGGAAAATCCAATCATCAACTTTTTGCTCTTAAATCCAGCACCCCTAGTTTCAACTCTGTACAGGCTGTATGAAAGGTTTTATAAGAGGCAGATCTAAATCTGAGCTTTACTTTCAAAGTCAGCTGTCAGGATGTGCGCAGCTCAGGCCATGATGTTGGTAATGAGAGGGGCCTTTCAGTAAAACCGTGGGTTATGTAAGTGTTAAAAATCAATACAGCAGCCTTTCAGTTGTTTTTCATTCATCTGAAATTAACTACTTTATATTCATTTCTATTGTGGGCATGTTTGAGAGTGACAAGAATTATCGGGTGCTAGCTCTGATTTATTATTTTTTTTCAATTGCTCTTTAGGAAACTGTTTCAAGTTTGGTTCTTTATAATTTGTGACAAGTTGTTAAAGTCCCACTCCAGTCGTTTTCTTTTCCGATTTAAAGTGTTCTCAGTGGTCTTTAAGTTGTGATTATGAAGTTTTGAGCCAAAATCATGTTACCTGTGTCATTTTCAAGGGCTGTTCTTCTGCAGAGCTCCGGTAGCTCATTAGCAATTCACCTCTGAGTCGTGGGCAGAGACAGCGCTGCTCTGCACGCTAGCTTGCAGCCTAACATTGCTAGTGTAGTAGGAGAAGAAGGTAACATAGGAGCTATTCAGCTCTCAGACACTGATGTCTTTAGGGACATGATGAAAGTTAATATCATAATTAGCTTTCTTACGATCATTGGTATCTGCTAAAGCATATACTTGTTCCCCGATTGTCTTCTCTATTTCTCTTAGTCTGGCCTGCATAGCGGGGCTCCCGGGGCGGAGCTTGGAATTGTGACATATGAAATCTCACTGTGTCTGAACCTGCTGTTTGGGTCTGCCAGAGATTCACAGCGATTTGAATGCAGTAATGCAATTTTCCACTTACTCTTCTCATATGTCCTGTAGCATCAGAAAAATGCCATATGAACATGTAAACA